AAAGGCCAGGCACCAAGATAAAGATGGAATGACCAGGCCTACATGCCTCCCTGAGGGATAAGCAATAACTTGAAGATTATGCTATAATTGGTATCACTTGGTGCAATAAATTCTAGATAGACATCAATCACCCAGATAGGTGACCAGGACCTCCTGACCGAACCCTTCCTAAAAATATCTTTCTTCTTTCCATGTACCCTTGATAAATGACCCCAGTTCCACATTGGATTTATATCATCTAAGCAGCTATACTTGTAATCTTATTTGTTGATCATAGTTATGACCCACATTGTACCCACCTTGTGATTTTGTACCCACCTCACGATTTTCTCTATAAAACTTTGTCTGTGAAGTATGATGGCAACCCACTTTTGGGTCTCCTCCTGTCTCTCAGAAACTATCTTTTTCAATAAATTTTCCCTACTCTTAACCTCCTTTGTTCCTTAGAATTCATTATTCAATTTTGGGGAGCAAGAACTCCTCATATCTGATATTTAACAGGTTGGGAGTTGCACATTTTCCCCTATATCAGATGAGCTGTTCTATCATAGAGAAGACCACTCCAATACACATTTTTTAGCTTTTCTGAGCAATGGTATTCAAAACCCAAAACCAATAATGTGACTGTTGGTTTATGTATGCCATAGTGACCTTGCCATGGTTAACAAGGGCTCTGGGCTCTGATGGCTTACTCAAGTAGTTTAGGCACTTTAAAGTTCAATTTTTTTCTAGACATAGCAATTATTAAAACACGAGGCATGATAAGGATAGAGCTTGGAAAAGTCATGAAGCTGAATGTGCTGGTGCATACCTATAATCCTGGCTACTGAGGAATCTGAGGCAGGAGGATTCCAAGCTGAGCCCAGGCTAGACAACTTTTAGAATATAAATAATACAATAAAAAGGGTTGAGGATGTAGCTCAGTATTGACAGTGATCAAACCCCAGGACCACACACACACACCTACACACACACACACACACACACACACACACACACACAGAAACAGGGACCATAGCTGAATGGCCAAGTTAAATAATATAGGAACTGTAGGGAATTATGGAAATCTGACATTTTTGGGTACCAGGCAAATCAACATTTATTATTTTCAACAACAGCTTTTACACTTCAAGAAGGCTGCATCTCTGCAAAATCCATCTGGATCACAAAAGAAGGGCATAATGTATCTTATGGTCTCTGAAGATGGGAAATACTAGAAAATGATTCTCCAGTTTGAAGGGAAAAAGAGTCCCCTACAGAAAACTAGCCCAGTGCTTCTCAAACTTTAACATACACACAATCACTTAGGTGTCTTGTTAAAATTCAGATTCTGATTCAGCAGAATTTTGCATAAGTCCTGGAATTCAGCATTCCTAACAAGTTTTCAGACAATGGTAATGCTGCTGATACTATTTAAAGTGTTGGAATGTGGTTAAAATCTTTCATGGCAATTAACCTCTATCGGTACATTTATTATAAAGTATTTGCAATTGTTTGCCTATGCTGTGTTTGTTTTGAAATATAATTTTGTTGGTCAAATCTAGTACTTTTTGGCTTTTATTTTGCATGTTTTTATTCTGCTTCACCTTTTTAGAAATTTATTTTTATTGCATTTTACAATGATCTGTGATGAATTGCAAGAAAATTTGGTCCTTCACCAGAGATAGTTTGAGAAACACTGCTCTAGACCAATGAAGAACTTTTTATTTAGGCTATAAATTTAATTAGAAATGGTTTGATTTCTGTTACATATGATTCTAAAGCAGCTTTTTAAACTTTTCTTTTTATTTACTTCCATAAACAATAACAAAACTCAGCTAGGTAACATTATGACAGTTTCACCATACATTCAGTCACAAATATTTAAAACTTTGCAACAAGAACAACAAAACCAGAGGTGTTACAAGAATAATTTACAAGAAAATCTATAAAACAGCAAGAAGCTCACAAATGTTCATTTTCTTTTGCACAAGATTACTACACTCTTTCACAACATCTTTTGTGTTACAAAATTCCCAACAAAAGTGTATTTTTCTTTGTATTGTGGTTTCTAAAACCAGAAACTTTGAAGTAAATATCCTTTTATTAGCACCTAGTGGTGCAGAAAAAGGAAAACTCTCACATACAGACACTTCACAGCACTTTTCTAAGAAAAATATACACTTACAAAATATGTTACAAATTGGCACACTTAAAAATATACAAGATTTTGTAGGCGTCTTAAGAGTGATCCTTAAGCTTTATACTTCAATTGACTCTACAGATTATTTATAAAGCTTAATTGTGAAAGAAAAAAGGCAAATAATTTCTTAACATTTTAAAGTTGCAGTGTCATACATCAAACATAAACTTAGGTTACATTCATAAAAAGGGCTTTTAAATTTTTACTTTAATTTTCTTAAATGTTTAAGGGGTTGGGGGAGAAGAAAAATTGGGATAATCATTTTCTTTAGCATCATCAATCAGTAAAGAGGTGCATTCATTTCTACAGAAATAAGGACTAGTACATTCAAAACTGTAGGCAGAAAACTATAGTCAGTGCTACAGGTATCCCGGTGGAGCATCTTAAGATTTCCACCCTCTTCACTGGGAATGAAAAACGAAGGCCTCTCCTAGTTTTCATTCAAGCCTTTTCTTTTGTGCTGTAAATCCAGGCATCTCTCAAAGAGGCAGAATGATTTAGATTTATCCTTTCTTTTGAATAAAATGTCCTCCTAAGGCTCAGAAACTCCTGAGTCTGTTAGATGGACATTTTGTCTCATGTGGATGAATGTTCTTCAATGTCTTTAGTAGTTATTTATCCAGATACTGATTTTTAAAAGCCTCATTCGTACCTTAAACTTTGTACTAAGCCTCTCTCTTTTATATTGTCCTTCCCCAATGTTTTACTTCTTAGTTATGATTCTCAAATCATGAATACATCTCAAGTATCATGTAGTTGCAATGGGAGCTTTGCTTCATGACTGTAGCTACTGTTTAATGCTGAGTAAAAAATGTACCTTAAAGGATGGCCTCAGTACTTTCATAAAAATAATCCCACGCTGGTTGAAGACCCTCAAACTGATGTCCGTGTTTCTCCCAAGTTAAACATCCCAACTCAAATTTTTCTCCCTTACTTGGGTCTTTCAAAAACCATTACAAAATCTCTGGCCTACATGGTGTTGATAAGATCTCTATTTGTTGCTAAAATTTTGATTTTGGTACTAAACCTTCTAAACATAATTACAAGCTCAGTGAATTTTATGATTAGAAAAGAAACCAACTTCACACTAGTTTTAGTTTGCAAAAATGATAATATTTCTGTACTGATGGATAGTCATTTAAAAAGTCTCTAAAGGAAAACAAAAAGTCCTTGAATTAGGTGATTTGTCAATAATACAGGAGAAAACAAAGATTTTTAGTTCTAGCAATAGTTAGGACTAGCTAGTGTTCTATTTGCCTCTTAAGCTCAGAAACTTAGATCTCTTCAGTTTGTGGGACTGTTCTGAGAACATCTGTAAACTGAAGATGTGATGGGTCTGCATCACACGTTTAGCTTGGTAAGAGCATTCTTGGATAAAGAGGTCCTTGGATATGGTTTTTCTCCTTTTGGCAGTAAATACTAATTTGAATCCACTGAAACAGAAATTCACTAGAACTTCAGAACTTCACATAACAGGACAGAGGATGCTAGCTAGAGTTGTTTACAGCATTTGAAGCATCCTTTATACTTCTCTTATACACACACACACACATGCACACACACATTTGCCCCCCTCCCTTGTGCCCACCCCCCTTCCCTGCACACACACAGATGCTTCCCAGCAAGGAAAAAGTTCAGAGAAGGTGAAAGTTGTCACAAAAGCCCACCTAGCACCAAGGACTTCAAGGAAATGGCTGAAGAAGTGATGGTCAAGGTAGTACAGGAGGTTTGAAAGCATTTAGACATTTAGGAAAAGGTAAGGCCTTAACACATAATAGCACAAAGCAGCAAGAAGTGAGAAGGGGAAGCTGGGAGGAAGCAGCATATGTGAGGCAGCTGGTATCTGAGACACTGGAGTGACAGGATGGCCACTGGTTCAAGCCAGTTATCATAGCCCAAGCCTAACCCCCAAAGTCTCAAAGACCCTTGATCAGTGCCACTGTATCAGCACCCTCTTCCACATGGTACAGCACCTAACCAGGGTAGGAGATTAGACCTACTTTTATAGATCATTAAGTAAAAGGGGTTTCTAACTTTCCTCAGTAATGTGATTCTCTGTGTGTAAAATTAAATTTGAAAATGGCCAATGCAATGAAAAGTAATTAAGAATGGAAAGGTTTCCCTTTAAACTTCCGGAAGAAAGTTCTTAGACTGACAGTTTGGGGAGGTAGAATGTAGGACCATGAAAGAAGAAAAATTCTAAGAACAAATACTGATACTAACTAAGAAGAATAAGGGAGGATACCATTTCCAGGAAAGTAAAGATTAAATGAGACTCTTTGGGGGAGGTGTTAATAGGAAGCAGCTTCTCAGAGAGGAGAGGTTAGAAGAGTGTTATTACAAGTTTCAGACTAAGGAAAATTTAATATTTCTGACTTGAGATATCAGTGACAGGGCAAGACACTACTTTTATACATTGGTCCTCACTCCACTAAGGCAGCTGGTTGAATTAGGGATCTCCAATAAATTAGGCCTACTATATTGTGAGAGGAATAAAAGAATTGTGAGAGCAGAATCAGGACCAGCAGAATGTTAAATCCTAGACAACTCAGAATATAGAGTACTGAGAGAGATATTGAGTGCAATTAAGAGAATAAATATCTGTGCCTTGGCCTACTGCTCACTCTTCAAACTTAGTTTATGGTTATATTTCAGTACAAACCAGCAGTTATAAATCATTTATTTATGTGTTAAAACATATAACATACTATAGGCCAATAAAAAAGATGCTTTAAAATGGCAAATCTTGGGTTGGGGATTTAGCCCAGTGGTTCTGGCGCCTGCCTTGCAGGTGCAAGGTCCCAAGTTCGATCCCTGGTACCAAAAAAAAAAAAAAAAATATATATATATATATATATATATATATATATATATATTTTATGGCAAATCTTTGGAAAAGGGATGATCCATGTCCTAGAATTGGCCCTTAATGGGCTCCATAGGAGCAACTGAAAAGAATATCTACTCCAAAGGACTCTTGATAGCAAGTTCTGACAAGGAAATTGTTTCTAAAGGTTTCACGCTATTCTACTCTGTTGTCACCCTATTCTCCAAAGCTGAAATGATACTTTTAAAAACCTGGGACAACTTTTCCCATATTTATTTTTATAAAACATATTGTACTCATGGAATATTTTCCTTATTTCGTCTTTAATTGCCACCTTTTGATTACATAGAAAGCACTCTATCCCTGTATGTGACTTTGAGGCCTGGAATCTTGGAGATCACAATATAAGCTTAGATGGTGATTTCAAGCCAAAATTCAGCTGCAAAACAGAACAAAAACAAAACAAAGACAAGTTCCTAGTAACTATCCACAATATTTAGTACAAATAGCTAGCTACAAGAGTAGAGAAATAGAAGAAAGTGTTTCAATTTGATTATTTTCCCTTTTGGATGGCAGCTGTAGAGTGGGAGACATGTTTCATCTGGTGCCTTTTCACTAGGTAATTTTCCAGGGCTCATTGCACACAGAGCATAAGAATGGATCTGAACTAGCCTTACAAACAGATCCTTACCCACTTGTCCCCACAGACACAAGAGATTGATGCTGAGAAAACACACAATCAAGAATATAGGCTTGTTCATTTTACTATCTAGATGTAAGTAGGAAAGCTGGCTGGTGAAAGGAATCATGGGCTGGGAAGTGTGTCTATTTATATATGTGACAGGTTTCCTCCCATTTCTCTCTGACTACTTTCAAAAATGTTGCTTCTCTGTGAATATATTTAGGTGGAAATGACTAGGTAGTTTCATATTTTGTTTAAAATTTTCCTTTTGAAACATCTTCCCTTTTTTATTAAGCCCCTTTCCCCTACCCACTTATTCTCCACCCTCCCACCCCAGTCTGTATATTCACAAGTTAATAGGTTAGTAACAATATTAGTAAGAATAGTAACAACAACAACCACCAACAACATTAATAATATTAATCCCCTATATCTGTATAGCACTTTATGATCTACAAAGTGCTTCCACACCCATTATCTCATTTGTGCCATAAAGCATCAGTCATCAGATGCATAGGCCTTCAACTGTGCAAGGAAAAGACATCAAATGTTAGAAGTCGAGTGGTGAATAAAGGGGAAGAAAAGGCTAGTAGTAAAGGATGTTTGAAGTTGTGAAATTTTTTTAAAAAGGTGGGAGCTGAATTAAAAATGACTAAAATTTTATATTAAAAATTCAGATTTAAATTTAGTGTGTAATATCAAATACTATTCATCCTCAGATTAATAAATTAATCAGTTGTTACTACAAATTGTTCAGCTTATGTGATATTATATGTATTTAACTCATAGAAAAAAATTTGGTTTAACTGAGATGCCTTAACATTTTCTTTAAATGACATTGGCATTGCAAAATTAAACACTTAAAGAACACTAAAACCATAGTATGAGTGCAGTTTTTACAAAAGTGGAATAAAACATTTAGGAAAATTCTTAAATAGAAGCAATCTATGTACTTCATTTATCATTAGTGTCAAATTTATAGCTATTTTATTATTTATCCCAGACTATTACAAAATATAAAAAACTGAAATATAAAGTATCAGCAATATAACTTTTCACATTAAATAATTTTCAGCTACAGATCTTGCTTTTAGAAAACAAACTTTCAAAGCAGCTGTTTTGTCTCCTTGTAAAAGGCTCTTTAATGCATATACTCAGGTCTATGATGGACTTAGTTTTATGACCTTCAGACATTTTCAACATTTTAACCCTTAGACAATGGAACAAACAAATCTTTACTGTGCCCTGTTTAACTGTTCATGTTTCCACAGGATGGTAGTGTTTAAAACTTTTAAAAAATGTATATATATATACTTAATATATGTATTTAAAATTCATTAATGAGCTTTAAACTGTGGGGTGAATCCATAAGACAAGGTAATGAAATTTGGCACATTTCAAACAGTATCCTTTGAGTTTTGGTAAATCATGTAACACAACATATTTTTTCACTGTGATCTACAAGTGCTATCCACATAAGTGGGGGTGTTTAATAGCAAGAATCACTGGAATGTTTCTAGCAAATTAAGAGGGGCAAGCTTCCCCAAATACTCACAACCAAATATTGATATAGAAGTAAAAATATATACAATACAGTCACTTGTTTGTAGTTTGGCACAACGTTTTCCATTTTGTCCTTGTGGATACATAGTGATAAACTACTTGTGCAACCGTATGACTTTTTAAGTCTTTTACATATAACATCAGATTAAAGTTTACTTTCAAAGACTTATTCCCACAATTTAAAATTCTTTTCTTTAAGCACTTACATGTTAACATACATACCACAAGGCATATTTTGAAACAAAATAAACACAAACATCAAATGTCTTTCTGGAAAATGCAAGTCTTTTCTTCAAACACAGGTAAAACCCAAAATGTTGTTTCTGCTTTTAGGAGATTATAGTCAGAATCCCTGCAGAAAAATCAAACAATTTATGCCATCTTAGTTAGTTTAAGTGTATGTCCCTCAAAGGGCTCATACAATCTAATTTTTTAAAGATCATACTAGATGCTGTATGATGCAGAAAACAGATACAGATAGCAGGAGGCAGTAGAAAGCACTCCTAATTGCCACGTGTGGACGTTTAGTTTTCCAGCTAATGCTCTTTTTGTTTATAAATGATCTTGACTTTTTGTCTATATGACTTTTTAATTCTGTTGTTCAAAATCTGTCTTACTTCAAAGCCCTTCCCTTCCCAAAATCACTCAAGAGCACATTTTAGTTCTACTTTCTTAATAAGTAGAAATTTATGCTGACTAGTAGAAGAAAAAAGTAGCATTGTTATAGCTTATCCCTGGCCAAGTCAGGAAAAAATTTCACAACCTTTTGAGTGGCTTAAAAATACAGGGATTTTTATGCACTTTGTTTCTTTTTAATTTGAAAAAGAAGTACACTTTCTTTCATGCAAACTTTTGCTTTTGAGAAGGAAAAAATGAGGAATTGTAGGCTCAGCAGGTAGTAGGAAAGATAAGGGTGCATCATCTCAGCCATTTTGGTGTAGTATTACCTCAGTTTTTCGAAAGAAGCTGTCCCAGACTCATCCTTGTGGACCTGTTCTCTCTCCATGCACTTTCCCTTACATTTCTCATCTCTTAGGACCTTGGAGCTGGATTTGTGACGATATAATTTTTTGTGTGTTGGTCCATTATTGCCTAAAGTGCTCACGTTACTATACTTTTTATCAAAGAAGGCAGAGCAATTGTCCTCATTATAACCTGGCATGTCTGTGCCACCAAGATCACCTATTGTTGCTTTCCCATTGCTTTTGCTCACACCCTTGATTGACCTGTGATTCTTAGTGGCTCCTGGGAACCCACTGTTGACCTTTTTCTTAGACTCCTGTGGTGTTCCAGCCAATATTTTGAGGGTTTTTAATTTTAGACTGTTGGACTCTGAGGAGTAGACTATGTTGGGGTCTCCATGGTGCCCAACGGGTTCCCAAAGGGGCTCTATGGAAGCCATCATGAATCTCTGCACATCTGCCATACCAGAGGCAATGTTGGACAAGATGTAGGAAGGCTCCTGAAATTCCCGTTGATCATCATCCAGGAGGTTGTTGGTGTTAGTGCCCATGCTCATATCACTCCAGCCTGAGCTGCTGTCTTTTCCCAAAGCCCAATCTCCAGAAAGTCCCTTGTGACTTGGCAATTTCATAGAAGTGACTGGGCCACCATGTTGCATGCATTCGACCAATGTCTTTCCAGTGGAGGATATGCTGTTAGTTTGGCCTTCCCCACAGCCAAATCCAATTTGCATTTTCTCTCCAGAGATGGAAGCCATATATTTCCCTTTCTTTGTTGACTTAGGGATCTGGCGGGAGGTTTTGCCAGGTGGCTTTTCAATTCCTTTGTTGTTGACTTTCAGGGACTTTTTCCTGGTGTTTTTTTGAGAAGAGCTTTGATTCATAGCCCCACTCTTGCTGGGTGAACTTCTTTTTCTTGATTTTGACACTTTGTTGTTCGTACTGATTAGACCAGTTGAATCATTAAATGTTGATAGGCAAGGGTTTTTTTGGAGCAGGCTGACAGATTCCTCATCATTGAACATATGGAACTGAAATTGATGTTTATTTAAAGTAAATCCATCATCAACTTGGACCTGCTGTGAAAGGGTACTACAGTCCCACTTGATTTTCTCCATGCTGCCCAATAATCCTGGTACTCTCTCTTGGAATCCTTTCAGTGTTCCTACTGCCTTTGTACTTTCACATCTGGTAATCTGAGGGGAAAGACTGGGAGTGTCAGGTGGGGACATCTCTGAGGGGGAAGAGTGTCGGAATTTATCAGGAGTGAAGTTGGAGATATCCAGAAGGTCAGTGGACTCCTTTAGTGGTGCTATCTCATCAATGCTCTGCTGGATTACCAACTTGGGGCTGCAGTGGGCTAGGAAGTCATCAGTGATATCATCATCACCATCCTTTTCAGAAGACTTCAAGTTTAAGGGGCAATAATTGCTTGAGCTGACAGAGAGTGGAGCCATTGAATCAAAGCTAAAGAGCCGACTATCATTCATACTGACTGGGCCCTGCTGGAAAGGAAAGCAGATCTCTCCATTATTAAAGTGACATAATTGATAAGAGTCATCACATGGAAGCTGGCTGTCCTGTGCAGAGGCATATAGAGCCTTGTTGCAACTACTGCCCTCATTATTGAGGCAGACTGGACTGTATGTTACAGCTGTGAGGTTATTCTCCATGGAGCCTATGTGGGAGGCTTCAAATTCACTGGATTGATTTGGGACTATCTCCTGTGACACTTCAGCCATGAATTCCTGAGGGCCAGAAGTAACCTTGTTGGGCCACACATTTTCATAGTTGCTGGATTCCATCTTGAAGTTATGAGATGACTTCTGTAGCTCAGAGTCTGAGGATGAGGACAGCACACAGTCTTGACCTGGTTGGAGAGGAACAAATGATTTTTCTCTCTGAGTGAGGCTGTCTTCATTTTGCTCTGGAGAATTATGGGTAAAGTATGAGATACTGGTATTGTTTGACATGTCAGAAGCATCTAACAATGTCTGAAGATATCCTCCAGGGATAACAGGTATGTTAGTAGCAACATTATCAGATGATAGAGACATTTCAGAAGAACAGGTGGTTGGTAAGAAGGTGGAATTCTTAGTAACTTTTGCCTCATGAAATTCAGGCAGATGAGAACTGTTTGAGGTCTCTGAAATAACTTCACTTTTAAAATTAGCCTTGGAGGACTGGCTTTCCAAGAAAGGGCTCATTTGAACTACTGACTTGCTTTCTTGCCCAGTTTTAATTTTCTTGGATTTTAACCTAGCTTCACTTTTAAATTTGATTTTGTTGAGCACTTTCCTCTCTGGCCCCTTAAACTCTGTATCTTGGGCTTTGACTTTCACTGAGTCCAAGCTTGTGATGTCATTTAAGTGTGATCCATTTGCACAGCTGGGGCTAGCTAGAGGTGCTGGCTTCATTGTACCTTTTAGGCCTCCATCTTCTTTGCGATCACTAGCTTGTCTTTGATCATTGCTGAATGAAATCTGCTTACTACTTACTGAAGTTTCCATGGATGCAATTCTTTGAATCCTGTGCCTGTTGCCAAGTTTAGATTTTCGTTTACGAGCAGGTGGCAGAAATGACACCTCAAAGCTACCCGGTTCAAAGCTTTGCTTTTGGCATAAGGTTGTCTTGATGGATTCTGTGTGGCTGTTTCTCTGCTTTTTCTTCTTCTGCCAGACACCCTTTAAAGGTGCCAGCTTGGCATATTTGTTGAGCTGATTCTCACTCAAATTCACTGTTGTCTCACTAGCATCCACCTTACCCAACTTCACCAGCATGTTCTTCTCACCTTTAAAGCGATTGATGATGATATATTTGATGATAACAGGGGGTTCCTTACGGGTTACTTTTCTTCTCTTTTTGGGGCACCATTCATCATCATCTTCCTCTTTGGAACCACCTGGAAGCCATTCCTTCCTCTCATTCACTTTTTCACCCTCTAGTGAGTCAACATCATATAGATAATCTTCACTGTATCTGACTTTTCTCTTGGCTCTCAGCCCATAGTTCTGCTGGGAGGAGGAGCTGCTTGAATTAGTGTCCCGAGCCATGTAGCGGCTACAATCCTTGATCTCTCCCATGGCATCATATGAGACTTCAATGAAGGAACTGTCATCACTGTAGTTTTCAGAGGTCTCTAAGGAATTAGCAAGATGGCCTTGCTTTGGGTTCTTAAATTGCCCTACCTCAATCTCACTGCATAATTTATTTAAGGCAGTTTTTTCCCCATTATCCTTTCCATCTTTTGTCTCTACACTTTTGTCTTCATGTTCTTCCTCTTTGCCTTTCTTCTTGTCCAAGTTTTTATCTTCCTCCCCCCAGATGACATTCATATCAGGGACCTTGAATAGGGAAAGATCACTGCTCTGCTTCATGGCCCCACTCTTAGACTCCCTCTTGGGGCAGGTGGAAAATACACTGGGAAAAAAGTTGAATTGAGCATCTTCCTGCATTAGAAGGGTGGTTTTGTCTCGAACATTGTCCTGAAAGGACTCATATCGAATTTTCAGGGAGCAGACATCACTGCCCAGTGTTGACTCATCATCATCAAACATGTAGTTATCCACATCTTCTTCAGAGAACAGATTGACAGATAGCTCATTCTTGGAACAGAGGTCAAGCAGTTCAATTTTACTTTCACTAATGAAAGTCTCAAAGTAACCCCAATCCTGATTTGAATTTGCAAGCAAAGTTTCTTCTGTATTGCACTTATCTAACAGTAATGCCTCATAATAACTTTTCTGAGCTGGATCTTCCAAGTCAACGTCAGGTTTCTCAGCTTCCTGCCTATCTCCTACCCTTGATTTATGCAGTGGGAAGCCCAGGAGCTGATCTGACAGCAGCTGTTCCCCATATTTCATGTTTTCTCCAGCACTGATGCACTGAATCCCTATATCAGAGACTGCACATGTTTCATAATCTCTATTTAGATCACTGACTTTTAGACTGATCCCTGGCTCAGGATCTACTGCCTCCTTGGATTCCATGAAGCAGCCCAAGCAAGTCCGGCTTGGCTGCATAAGGCAGTCTCCATTCAGAGCTGACATGCCTGCAGGCTCCATTATGGCAAATGGAGCTTTCTCACACTCACTGGGTAGTGACCATGTGTTCAGGCCTTTTGCAACACCAGATGTGAGGGAAATGGCATTCACAGAATCACTGTTGGCAGCATGCTCAGGTACTTCAACCAGGCCCAAAGGCGATGGAGGGTTCTGCATGCAGGGCTTCTTAGAAGGCAGAGGCAGGAGACCCCTGGGAAACATCAGGGTCTCTTTTTGTACTACTGGTATAGGCTGGATTGGTGCAGCTGCTTCTAGAGCTGCAAATGACTTCATTGCCACATCTTGGTCCTCTGAGTCTAGAGAAAAGGGAAAAAAATGACAGAAATAAAGTTAAGGATCTTGGACTACACTCATTAATTCTCCCTTGACCATTTTCTGTTGTTTGATCTTGTATATAAGCTAAGCCTGTGTTTCTCTAGCTTTACAAGGCACAACCAAACCATTAAACCACAACCCTAATTTTAACCTGAATATTATTAGTAAGTAAAAGTAATTTTTAGGCCCAACTTCTTTCTTAGAGAAAGATAGAGCCCTCCTCAGGATGAGGAAAGCTTAACAAATTGGTAAATCAAGGCTTTATGGGGAGAAATGCTCGGATGGGACATTCATGGTACCTCATTGAACTATGAGATACAAGCCCATTGATGGAATGTTCTTGAAGCTCCTATTGAATCTAGAAATTCTAAGCTTCACATGAGAGCATATTTCTAATTCACTAAGAATTTGGAGGAACTTCATCTGTCAGAGATGATCTGGGAGGTCAATAGGATTAGATTTCATGGCTCTCAGAAACCTTGTAGCCCAACTGAAGATTTGGTGGAATAAAGTTTAGGATTAGCATCAATCTGAAAGGCATCCTAGACTCAATCTATCCTAACTTTGTTGATACTAAAATTCATAGTAATAACAAAGAACCACTGAGAGATATATTATTTACTATAACTAAATTCCCTTACCATTTTCTTTGATATCATTAATCAGAGTGTTTTCTCCATTGGCTGAGGCAGCAATAGCTTTATCTTGTTGGTCATCCATGAATCTAATCTCTTATTGTTTCATTCCAAATCCAAATGATGTCCAACCTGCACAATTTAAATATATAATACCAGGCATTAAATTTATTTTATTTATATTGCACAGATTATTTCAGCTATAGGAATCTTAAAAGGCTCATTGGGATTTACCTGTTTCCAGACTGGCTTCAGTGTAACTATTGTTTTCATTTTGTAGTTTATACCTATCATATAAATCAATTCAGAAACTCACACTTAATTCATACATCCTAGGTCCTTCTGTCCCTTCTATGCCACTATACTATTCAAAACTGAAATCTGAAGAAGCAGGGAAACTTACATCTTTCTCCAGATGGTAACAAATTTAACCTAACTATAGTTGCCCAATAAGAAAAATGCAAAATAAAGTCCAGTCTAACTTGAAATAAGGGGTGTTTGGGTGTGGGGATTAACTTTGTTTCTATTTGCCTCATTTCTACTTCACAAGATCAGGAGCTCTTCAAAAATAAGCCAGTTCATACATATGCACAGCATATTCATCACACAGATTTTCTCTATCTGTCCCTTAAAATTTGACTTGTTAGCCGGGCATGGTGGCACATGCCTGTAATCCCGGCACTCGGGAGGCTGAGGCAGCAGGATCAGTGACAGTTCAAGGCCAGCCTGGGCTACATAGTGAGCTTAGGGACAGCCTGAACTACAAAGGGAGACCCTGCCTCAAAAAAACAAAAAAAAATTTGACTTCTTAAGGTTGAAAGAAGTGAAAATGTCATGGTTTCTCAACTTTAGAACCTTTACCAGGATTTTGATAAGTATTCCTCCAAGACTATAGCAGGATTTTAAAATGTGAGTGAAAAGATGATCTAGATTTTCTGAAAGCATACTCTGTTACTTTTTAGGTGTGGTATACATATCTATAGTTCCTCATTTTCCCACCTATTTAAGTGGTAGGTATATGCCAAATGATAGGAAATAAGGCCACCAGAGATACAGTTATCTACCATATACTACTACAACATCTATAAATCCTTACTCATTTAAGTCCCATTCTCTAAACATTCTCCACAGTCAAGTACTCATCACTGTATTTAAAAGCACATACTGATGATAGCCAAGTGGATAGTAATGAGAATTTCAATTGTATACTCATTTATCCTGATACAGACATTTCCTGACTTGCAATGATTCAACTTGTCATTTTTTTACTTTACAATGTTATGAAATCAATACACGTTCAGCTGAAACTGTACTTTGGAGAAGATGGCAGAGTAAAAGCTGGCAGCAAATCATAGCCTCTCTGGCATCTATAATTGAAAAACTTGGAAAACAATAACTTAGTGAAGAGAGAGTAGAAGAGCTCTGAGAATCAAGAAAGAGCAGACAGGGGCCGGGGATTTAGCTCAGTGGTTTTGCCGCCTGCTGTGCAAGTGCAAGGACCTGAGTTCAATCCCTGGTACAAAAAAAAAAAAATGAAAGAAAGAAAGAAAAAGAAAGAGCAGACCGGAAAGCTAGAAATCACAGATAAATTGGAGAAACAGAAGACAACACAGAGAAATAAACAGGGCAGTCTGCAACGTTAACCCGGGCTCCCAGTGAGGGAGACCTGTCTCTGCAAACATAAGCCCACTGAGGGCCAGCAGTGTGAGTAATAAATGATGGACAAGCAGCACTACCTTGAAGAAAAGCCATGGATATTGTGAATTGAAAATACATTGTGGGATTTTACTCTAAAAGTGAATTCTTCCACATGGCAGGCTAGAATGGGAGAGGAAATCTGTTTCAGCACCCACCATATTAGGGAGTGATATAATCAGGAGCCATTTTAAGAAGGGGATAATTGTTTAAGACTGAGCTACTCTGAGAATCACAAGTTACAGAACAATCACACTTCAGAGTTTCTGGGGTCACCTTACTACAGTGATTAGGTCTGAGATGGCCACAAGAGATAGTTTCAGAGAGGAGGAGAGCTAGTAACAGAATCCCTGAGAAGTTTAAGCAGTGGCGAGCACAAGTTATGGTGGACACAGTGGTTTGACCCTCTGTGGTGAGAAGCCAAGGTGGTGGCATGTGATTTTCTGTTGGGGCTGGGTTTGAAAGTGCTAGGCTTAAGTCCAAAAGACTGTTTTTCCTCCCTTGCTGCCTACTTCCAGGACAGAACTGAGTGATCTGTTTCTTTTCTCCATCTGCCAATGTGATCAGGGATACACCTTAGCTTGGAAGTTTGCCACATCCCAGGGTGTACAAATAGAGGTGGCTTTGGAACAAGTGCTGCACCTCACGAGCCCACTGGCCACAAAGATTGTCAGGATAGCAGTGGCTCAGGGCACCCAAGAAGGCACAAACACTAAGAGCCACTGTATTGAATACAGGCTTGAGGCAGACAACACACCACTGACTGATCCTACACAGTGAGAAAAGTGGGGGAAAGACTTAGCATTCACACAGCAAAAAGTGGTTGTGGAAACACAATAGGCCCTAGTTGAGATTCACTATCCCTGCCCATATCTGGTGGATCCCAATTCCATAGGTTCTACAAAGAAACTTCCTCCCTCCTACAAAACTCCTCAAAGTGGAAGAACTTTTGGATTCATTGCTCTTTTTCTCTGTCTTTGTGTGTGTGGGGGGGGGGTTCTTTTTCATTTGCTCTTTGTTTTATTCTCTTCTCTTTTCTTTCTTTTGTTTTGTTCTGTTACTTTTATGTAATTCTACTTACTTCATTCTTTAGTTGTATTTTTATTTCACTTCTTTCTCCTTCTAGCCCCCAGAAGAAAGTTGGCCACTAAGAAGACCCTGAAATACTACATTGAGTAAGTTGGTGAAGGGTATAAACACCAAAATATAATCAAACCCAAAGACACATAACAGAAACAGAACCTAACTAAAGATATCTCCATAGCAGTGACAGAGTTCTTTTACCTAAACTGAGTGAAACCTGATCTTCCACCTGTGGCACAAAACCAATAAAAACATAAGAGAGCAAGGCAACAAGATGCCTCCAAAGCCCCTTAACTCCCCAAAAGCTGCTCTCATGGGCACTGAAATAGAATTATAGGCAAAGAACTAAAAGAACCAAATGGCCAAAATGTTTGAAGAGATCAAGGAAAAGATATATAAGCAAATTTATAAGATGTTTAGAGAGCTCAAATGATATTTAAATTCACAGATAAATGATTTAATTAATAAAATGTTCAGTGATCTTAAAGAAGAAACAAATAATAAACTGACTGAGTTAAACAAGACAGTTCAAGATATAAATGACTATTTTGGTGAAGAATTAGAAATAATGAAAAGAAATTCAGAATATGAAAAATTTGATGGAAAGCATGGCCAGCAGATTTGACCAATGTGAGGATAGAGTGCTAGAACTTGAAGACAAAGTTGATATAGTCAATCATGTGCTTGATGATGGCACAAAATAACCTAAACTCAGAATTATAGGAATAAAGGAAAAATTAGATACTCAAAAGGTATAAAAAATTTACTCACTAAAATCATAGCAGATAAATTTCCAAAGCTAGGGAAATAAGTCAGTATTCAGTTACAAGAGGCAGACAGAAAACCAAATTGCTACAGCCAGAAAAGAACCTCTCCATGAGGCAACACAATAAAAAATCCAGAAATTCATCAAAAAGAGAAAAGGTGATAGAGCAAAACAGCATGTAACCTATAAAGGCAAGCCAATCAGAATAACAGTAGATTTCTCAGCACAAACCTTAAAGGCCAGAAGGGCTTGAAATAAAGTTCATCAAGCTCTAAGTGAAAACAATTGTGAACCTGGGCTTCTGTGTCATGAAAAAATTAGCCTTCAAAATTGACAGAGAAGTAAAGACTTTCCATGACAAAGAAACCATAAAAAAATACATTACCACTAAACCAGCATTGCAGAAAATAAAAGAATCCTAGACAGACAGGCTATCAGCACTAATGAGATCAAAGGGAAGTATACATATAACTGAGATAGTAGTGAAACAGAAGGAAAAAATGAAGAAATCAGCCCTAGAAAAATAATGCAATGACAGAATTCAATAAATACCTTACAATAATAACTCTCAATGTCAGTGGTCTTAATTCTCTAATCAAATGACATATACTGGAAGATTGTATTAAAAAAACAAAACACAACCGTATATTGCCTATAGGTGATGCACCTCATCCTAAAGGAAGCACAAAGACTGAATGTGAATGGATGGAAAATGATAGTTCATGAAACCAGAGTCAGAAATAAGCAGGAGTAGCTATCTTATTTTCAGACACAGTAAATTTCAAGCCAAAACTGATCAGAACAGACAAAGTTGGCCACTGCATACTGTTAAAGGGAAATATTCAGCAGGAAGAGATAACATTTGCAAATATATATGCACCAAATGTTGGCACACACAACTTCATAAAACAAAAACTAGCAGATGTAAAGACTGACACCAATGTAATCAAAGGGGGGACTTCAGTACCCCACTTGCACAAATAGGTCAACTAGACAAAAAATGAACAACAAAATAACAGATTTAAACAGCAACAAATGGATTTAACAGATATCTACAGTGTGTTTCATTCAATCACAACAGAACACACATTTTTCTTAGCAGCACGTGAAATGTTTTCAAAATAGACCATGTCTTAGGCCATAAAGCATACTTAAATAAATACAAAAGAATTGAAGGAACCCCTGCATACTACAAGATCATAGTGGACTGAAACTAGAAATCAACAATAAAATAAATTAAAAAGAACATACATCGTGAACAAGATGGCTTCCTCACTGGGAAACAAGGGTGGTTGAAATACATAAACCAATAAACATAAAACACCACATAAACAGGAACAAGGTCAAAACCCATATGATCATCTCAAAAGATGCAGAAAAAGCCTTTGACAAAATCTAACATCCACTCATGATGAAAATCCTGAAGACAATAGGTATGAAAGGACCTTATTTCAAACTGATAGGAGCTATTTATGACAAAACTACTGCCACATCTTATTAAATGGGGGAAAACTGAAAGTATTTCCTCTAAAATCAGGAACAAGACAAAGGTCCTGTTCAATACAGTACCTGAAACATTAGCCACAGC